GCCACATGAGATAGACACTATTGCTATGCTTACTTTCTGCTGCAGTGGATAGTTTTGGGTACCTAGTGAAGCTGATTAAGCCTGTGGGTGAGTATGTCATCAAGTTCACAGCACAGGCCACTAACCTCTGTGCTCTACAATCTATCCAAGAATTTTGTGTCTGCCTCACAGCACTTTCACCGGAATTACAGGAAGTTACAAGCATAAGAATGTTTGGAGAGCACTTTTCAGATAGTCATCATTATTATTTTCCATTCACATAAGCTCACGACCTCCTCCTGCCTCTGCCCTCTGTTAACAGAGGGCCCTCTATTACCCCTTCTCCTTAATGCCTCACTTCCTCCCCAATGTCTGCCATCATCCTGGATATGTGTTACATGCACCTGTAGAGGTTGCATATTGACAATAATTAAATTGTCTTTTTTGTTAATGTTTTTCATGTCATGTTGACTTTATCTTCTTCTGGGCGTGCTTAAGGGTGTCTAATTTATTCTCTTTCCACCACATTTCTAATGCTGTGCTGTGTACGTACTTAACGTTTAATTAAATTAATTAAATCTATGCAATTGATTTCATCCAAGGAAAACCGCACTGAACCGTGGGGCCCAGGCAATGGCAGTGCCAGTCTCTGCCTCCAGGAGCGAAAGTGCTGTTGTCAGGGGTTAATTTTGATAGCTTGCCAAAAAGATTAAAGCAAAGCAAGCTACAAATTGTTGACAAAGTCTCTGAGATTTGAGATTCTGAGATCTATATTTGCATATACAAATAAAACAAGCAAATTAATAGACATCTTAAGCATAATATAATAGTGCATCTAATTAAGTGATTCAATTATTTTAACAGTTTCAAAATAGTAGCTCAAATTAATAGGAATATGTTTAATGCTCAAATAAAAATTTAAGGCCATCACCAAGGTTCATTTGGTGTCTGGTGTCATCTCTGTGACTCCCAAAAGCCAGTTACCTGATGATCCCGCTAAGTAGAAGGCAGAGATTATGCAAGAAAACTTTCTTAAGATCATGTCAGAGAGACAGAAAGTCTGGCCCCATCCAGGACGTACTCATGTGAACTTTCTTGTACAGAAGAGCTAGGACCCACGACACAGTAGAGTGTCTAAGTCAGGACCCGGCCAAAAAATAAATCATCTCATCATTTAATGGAAAGTTGACAGGGCTAGAGTTTCTGGGGATTTTAAAGAAACATGTAAAATAGTTGCTCTAAGTGTCCAAGAACTTAAATGAAAAACAACTCTTGTGCTGGTTGGCGAAGAAGCTTAAATTTTATCTAAATAGGAAAAGTTACCAACAAAGGTAGCCAGCTAAGCTGTCTACAAAATCATTCATGGGACTACACTTGCCATTTCGCTGCACTTTGAGCTCAATTTGTAAAGAGCTTCCAATCCACATTTCAGAAGAAATATCATTAATAAGATGTCCATCTTTCAGTCCTAGGCCTGGGCTATAAGAGGACAGAGTGCCACTCTGAAATAGCACAGAATTCCACAATGTGCAGACTTGCCTCATTCCAACCGCCTCCCTTTGAGGCTGTGTCTCTGTTGACTGAGAAGCTAATCACAGTACATCACCCCTGCAGTGACTGGGTTTTTCCAAGGGGCAGAGCTTCACTGGAGCCAAGCCAAGCTGATGCTTCACAAGCACAAAACTAGATCATGGTATTCCCCATTCAATGATTTTCTCCTCAGCTACCCTCTGTCCTTCAGTAACAGAATGGCCACACAATTATCCTGCCTGACAGCATAGATGAAGAAACGCGAGTACTACTTCTCTGGGCCACCTAGCAAGTATCAGGACATAATTTTTTAATACCTAGTCTGATGCTCTCTTCATGTTTTCAGACTATTCTTGAAATTGTGTCACATCTAACTGCAGGATAGCTGCCATTCTTAAGAATTTAAAAATGAACCTCAGCCAGAAAAACAATATGGGCTAAATTCCTTCTCACTCCATAACAGTTAGTATTCTTAAATAATATGGCTTTAATTTTCAAAATATTTGGAGTTATAGCCTTCATTCTTTTTTCTTTTCTGAGGCAGCATCCCACTCTGTACCCAGGCTGAAGTACAGTGGCAGGATCATGGCTCACTGCAGCCTCGACCTCCTGAAGCTCAAGCGATCCTCCTGCCTCAGCCTTCCGAGATGCTGGGACTACAGGCGGGCACCACCATGCCTGGCTAATTTTTGTGTTTTTAGCAGAGACAGGGTTTTGCCGTGTTGCCCAGGCTGGTCTCAAACTCTTGGGTTCAAATGGTCTTCCCACCGTGGCCTCCCAAAGTGCTGGAATTACAGGTGTAAGCCCCACCGTGTCTGGCCTATAGCCTTCATTCTTTTTCTACCTTCAATAGTAGTAAAATTATTATTCTACATTTGCAATATATTTCACAGGTTACAACCGGTTCACTAACATATTTGACTGAATACCCTAGAAGTATCCTGCGAAGGGAGAGTCCCTCAATTTAACTGGATCTGAGCTCACAGGTGATGGGTCAACCTCTGCACTTGAATTATCTTTTCCATGCACCAAAGGTACTCTGTGTTCTTACCTAACCATGTAGACACGGATGAAAGTAATGATCTTCAACTTTTTTTCTTCCTTATTTTCCTTCTGAGGAGGCTTTTTAGATGTTTTGTTCTCCTAATGACCCTGCCTCTGAAATTGAACGCCACAGATATACTATCCACCAATTTACGTATTTTATTTTATCTGTATTAGTCCATTCTCACACCACTATAAAGAAATACCTGAGACTGGGTAATTTATAAAGAAAAAGAGACGTACTTGGCTCACGGTTCTGTAGGCTGTACAGGAAGCATAGCAGCTTCTGCCTGTGGTGGTGGGGACGGGGGTGGTCTCAGGAAGCTTCCAATCATGGCAGAAGGCAAAGTGTGTAAAAAACCTAACAATACGTATGCTTCATAGTCGGCCTTAACAATAATAAGCTCACTCCCCTTATCTAAATAATGCCTAGTATTTTACTGAATTGAATGTTTAGATTAAACCATAGCATCCTTATACATCAGATCCAAATATTATTTTTCTGCTTAATTTATAGGGGGAAATGTACATACTTACTTTTAGATCATTTTATTTTTAAGCACCAGAAATAATCAGATTGAAGTTGGTCCTCATGAGAGACTCTTGATGATGGGTACAAAGGGATATCTAACACTCTTTAAAATTCTTTATAAACCGGCAGGACTTCATCCACTGAGAATGCCAGGTTTACTTACATTTCTTCTTTTGGTTTTACACCTTCCAAGTTTGTTGTGAACAATTTATAATTTGTGTCTCACTAATCTTCTCACCCCACCACTGAGCACTTGGTGTAGCTCCTAAGACACAATCATTGACCTTAGTTTCCATCCTCAAACCTTTCTTTTTGAGTTAGAATAGAAATAACATTTTCTCAACACTTTTCTCAACACTTTTCTTAACACTTTCTCAACTATCCCTATCCCTGGCTTACACTCAACCATGCCCTCACAATCATGATACAAAGTGAACCACAAATTATTTCATCTAGATTCTGTTGAAATATTTAAATCTCACCAGTAATTGCAAATTTAATTATTTTTATTAGATTAAGTGCTTATTATATCATCTTTTGGGCCTAGGTTTTGTGAGAAAAAATTCTATTTCTTATGAATTTGAAACTTTCATGCATAAGCTGAAACACACAGTCATCCCCCCACCCAAAATAACGGAAATTCCATGTTCTGGCATTACTGTATGCTCAAATCATGGAAGAAATAGGTCAAGATGACCAGTGAGCTTGAGAAAGATAATATTTGTGAAAAGTAACTGTGTTACAGTCAGAGAAACTTTGATTCATGAAATGTTTTATAGTAACATAGAATGGTCTGGTATTTTCCATTTGTATATAGGAACATTACTGCTGAAATATATTTCAGTAGTAATATATATTACATGTTATAAAAGGCTACAACAAATTTGGCATCATCTTTCTTGAAGGACAAAGTGAATCACTAAGATTACATATAAATTTCTTATCTATGGATATAAACGTACCATAAACAACTGTTTTATTTGAAGTAGGACTGAGATTTGGAAGACCTAGAGTCAAATTTTGTTGCTGAAACTCAGATATGTGATCTGAGACAAGCAAATTTGTGTACCTATCCTAACTTTCATTTGTTTCTCTATAAAATGGGGGCAGTAATCTTGAAACTGGCAATTTAGTGTATGGTTTCAGTCACCTAACTGAAGTGAACGCGTCTGATAAATAATAAGACACTCATTTAATATAAATATATGTAGCATATCTGATGAGCAATAACTTTGGAAACTTAGCATATGCCTTTTTGAGATTAAATACAAGAATGTTTAATCTTGCTGCTTCAAATGGCTTCTCAAATCTTAGTGAAGAAAACAAAACAAAGTCCTTTATATTCAAGAAAAACTGTGAGCTATGAGGAGATTTAAGAAAATCAGAACAAACTAAGTGTAATCTCAGAATTTCCAGCTTATTTTTCATGACAAGGAAAAAATTTTTAAGATAGGTTATTAAGTATGGCTTTCTTTTTTGTGGGTATCTCTCTTTGCTTTCAGTAGATTCATGATGAGAGAGAGAGAAGAAAGGAGGAGGAAGGAAGGGAAGGGAAGAGAAGGGAAGGGAAGGAAAAGGAAGGGGAGAGGAGGGGAGGGGAGAGGAAGGGGAGAGGAGAGGAGGGGAGGAGGGAGGGAGGAAAGAAAGAGAAGAAGGAAGGAAGGAAGGAAAGAAAGAGAAAGAAAGAAAGAAAGAAAGAAAGAAAGAAAGAAAGAAAGAAAGAAAGAAAGAAAGAAAGAAAAGAAAAGAAGAAAAGAGAAAGAAAGAGAAGGAAGGAAGGAAGGAAAAGAAAAAGAAGAAAGAAGCAAAGAGAAAGAAGAAAGAAAGAAAGAAAGAAAGAAAGAAAGAAAGAAAGAAAGAAAGAAAGAAGGAAAAGAAAAGAAAAGAAAGAAAGAAAGAAAGAAGGAAAGGAGAGAGAAGGAAAGAGAGAGAGAGAGAAAGGGAGGGAAGGAACAAATTAGCAATGGAAGAAAATCACCAGTGGTTCTTTTGCTCCTCAATTGTCACCCTCCATCTACTCATGTCTAAGGATTTCTAGCTTCTTTATTTTGCTTTACCAAGAGCCAACCAAAATTTTTAAAAGTTCTGAGATCAAGATTCTATGCAAAAGCCAATTTCACATATGTAACATATGTATGAAGCAAACATGTTAGCAAAGTACAGTGAGACTCTAGAAAAAAAACATACTCCAAAATTATAAAGCTAGGGATTTACAGTTGTTCTTTCCATTGCATATCCAGAATCAATGCACAGGAACATAAAATGTTGGTAAAGTATGTTAAAGACTATCAAAATAGCTAGCAAAAAGACCTAGCCAATATTAAGTGCTCAATAAATGTTAGTTTCTGGGGTTCTTTTTAAATTGTTTGCTTCTTTGTTTTGTTTTTGTCAATGATCTGTAAATTTGTGAATAGTCTCGCACAATTTACCACATATTTACCTCCCTATTTACACATATCATCACCTTCTTGCCATTATGCACAGATTAAGTTACTCTCTTCAACAAGCTCCTCATGGCATTTTTTACCTCTGTGTTTCTCACGGTGTAAATTACAGGATTTAACATGGGAGTGAGGATTGCAAAGAATACAGTCACCAACTTGTCCACAGAGTAGGTGACCACAGGACGCATGTAGGTGAATATGCAAGGCGCAAAAAAGAGTACAACCACAGCAAAGTGGGAACCACAGGTGGAGAGGGCTTTGCGCCGTCCTTCAGAGCTATGGGATTTCAGGGAGCTCAGGATAACTATGTAGGAGATGAGGAGCATGGAAAAGATGAGCAAGCACATGGCTCCACTGTTGGCTGCCACCATCATCCCAAGTCTGTAGGTGTCTCTGCAGGCAAGTTTCAACAATGGGAAGAGGTCACACATAAAGTGGTCAATGACATTGGGACCACAGAAGGGCAAGTTAGTCATGAAAAGAATCTGCACAGTGGCATGCAGGATGCCTCCAATCCAGGCTATCACCACCAGAAGGTGGCAGATCCCTTGTCGCATAATGGTTGTGTAGTGCAGGGGCTTGCAGATGGCCACATAGCGGTCATAGGCCATGACGATAAGGAGGATGATCTCTGAGCCTCCCAGCAAGTGCTCCACAAAGAGCTGGGTCAGGCAGCCAGCCAAGGAAATAGTTGTCCTCTGGTAGAGCAGGTCGGTGATCATTTTGGGGGTGGTGACAGAGGTGTAGGAGGCATCTATAAAGGATAAGTAAGTGAGAAAGAAGTACATGGGTGATGAAAGTGTGGGGCTGGAGGAGATGGTAACGACAATGAACAGGTTGGCAAGCACAGTAAATAGGAAAATAAATAAAAAGACAATAAAGAGTATTTTCTGCAAGTGTGGATTCTGTGTGAGCCCCAAGAGAGTGAATTCAGTCACGTTGTTGGGAGACTTGAGGTCATCCATTCAGAGAGTAATACTTTCCAGGGGTCTGAATTACCTACAAGAGATAAAGAAAGATTATATATTCATCATTAAAGGATTACAGTCTGAATTTCACAGTATAGAGATAGGATAGTTAACTGTGGAGCATGTCTTTGGCTTCCCTCACCCCACTAATTATTTAAATTATTCATTTTCACTTCCTCCATAATGCTTTCAGTCTCTTCAGATCCCTAGTCTTATCACCTGCAAAACATCTATAAGGCAACAGTTCCCATGTAGTTTGCTGAGAACATACTTGACTACACACATGAGATCTGGATTCTTCCTCTTGTTCCAACTCCATGTGACTTTGCTAAGTTGTTCCCATGTCCCATGCTTCTGAGCCATCCTCTACATCTGTGAGTTTACAAACTGTAGCTGTGAGATTGATTTTGTAAGCTATAAAGTGTTGCACACAGGTAAGGATTATTCTCTCTTCCCGTAAATTTACGTTTGAACCCACAGCTCTAACTGGGAGAAAGATGTGGTCAAGAAATATCCATCATAAGTAGGCAGATTAGGGAAACGTAAGTTGTCAGAGACACACTCTCCCTAGCACCCGCCATAACAAATATGCTATTCATGTTGCTTTCCTCACTGCACCTATGCGGTGGTTGACAAAGTATCTTCAGTACCTGGCAATTACCAGGCAATGAATACATGCTTGGTGAATTCCCCTACATCTTCCCTTCCTACATCTTCATGCGTAAGGATGCATGTGTTTCTCCAGCCCATAAACCTAGGAATTTAAGTACTCTTATCCTCCCACTCTGTTTATTCATGCTGTCTACCTCAAGAGAACATAAACTTTTGAAAGGAAGATGCATTCCAGTTTAATAGTTTCTATCATATAATATAGGGTGAGGATGGAAGTATCAATTGCCTGCAGGAAAGACAATGTACTGGGCAATCTGACTTTCGAGATAATTACGATGTTCTTTTTTTTGTTTTGTTTTTTTGTTTTTTTGACAAAGTCTCGCTCTGTTGTCCAGGCTGGAGAGCAGTGGTACAATCTCGGCTCACTGCAACCTTCACCTCCCCAGTTCAAGCAATTCTCCTGCCTCAGACTCCCGAGTATCTGAGATTACAGGTGCACACCACAACTCCCAGCTAATTTTTTGTATTTTTAGTAGAGACGGGGTTTCACCATGTTGTCAAGGCTGGTCTTAAACTCCCGAACTCAGGTGATCCACTCACCTTGGCCTCGCAAAGTGTTAGGATTATAGGTGTGAGCTACCGTGCCCGGTCATATTCTTTAATTAATATTTTTTATTCCTCAAAATTATGTTCCACATACAATTTAACACAGTCCCAACTCAGTAAATTTAAAACTTCAATAGACTGGTATGTATATATACAGAAACTCTTGGAGAAGTTTTTCAGTCCATAATCTGTCAAAGCTAAAGAACCCGTTATTTTCAAAGTTAAAAAATAGAAACTCAATGTAGAGAACAGAAATAGACTGCTAGATAAGATAAAGTACTATACAGATATATACACACACATACACAAGCACAAACATATAAAATCTACTAGTTACTATAAGTAAGTATCTATGACTTACATATTCACACATTCAGCAAATACTTTTTGGACACTCTACATATTCTTGTACTTTTGTCCGTATAAAATCATAAATATGTTCCTGACAAAACCCTTTTGTCAGCTCTCCCTTGACAGTTTATTACCACATAACAACAATTCACCTACTCACAAGATGAATAATCCCTTCTACTACTTTATTTCTGCTGTTTACATTCTCATGCCTTTTCCTCCCACTCTTCCCTAATATCCATCGTACATCACTCTTGGTTTGAGAAAACTGCATCATTAATACAATAGGAAAAATTATCCCAGTTTGGAGACATGCACTTCCCAAAAATATGAAAACAAGGCTGAACATGGTGGCTCACGCCTGTAATCCCAACACTTTGAGAGGCTGAGGTGGGTGGTTCACGAGGTCAGGAGTTCAAGACCAGCCTGGCCAACATGGTGAAACCCCGTGTCTACCAAAAATACAAAAATTAGCTGGGATAGTGGCAGATGCCTGTAATCCCAGCTCCTTGGGAGACTGAGGCAGGAGAATCGCTTGAACCTGGGAGGCAGAGGTTGCAGTGAGCCGAGATTGTTCCATTGCACTCTAGCCTGGGCAAGAGTGCGAGACTCCATCTCAAAAAAAGAAAGAAAGAAAAGAAAAAAGAAAACATAAATATAACAAAATGTATTCTGTGAACTATATTTTTCTTTTGAAAAAATAAGTGGATAAAGGGGTTTATTTTTTAATTGTTCAGGACAAAACTCTTGTACATATGTGAAAGCAAAGTGCAGCCGCTTCATCTTTTTCTCTTATTCTGAGGTCAAGTCCCAAGCAGATCTGAAAGAGTATGGTGTGTGTAAAGTAAGAGAAGACATAATAAACCTGATCTAAATATAAATATGAATAAATTAAAGTCACCTTGTCTTTTTCCTTGGACTTCACCATATTTTTTCTAAGAATAAATCCTGAAACAAAATATTTTAAAAAGAGAAAAATCATTCAGTACTAATATGTTCAACAAAATTATTAACAGCTGCAAAACACTTAGGAACTCCATGGAATGTCTCCCATTAGAGAAGTGGAGGAGTAAGATATAGTGAGCCTCTCAGAATCATGTGTAGCTTTTAACAATGTTCTTAAAATTTGTGTAATATCAAATGAAAATTTTTACGTTGTAACATTAAGTGGGGAAAATGTGGACACAAATTTGAATACATAATATGATTCTAATTAATTTAAACATATATCAATAGAAAAAAAAGACCTTAAAATATTTTTACTTCTAAAGTGGTGGGATTACAGTTGATTCTATCTTTCTTGATACTTTACATGCAGAAGAAGAGACTTAAACCTTAAATTGATGGGGAAGAAGGGTGATTTTTAAGGTCCATTGAATCCTGAGATTCTATATTTATACTAGTTCTTAAAAAACAAATCTCACCTATTAACTTGTCTGGCATAGCTCCATGGCCAGAGCCCCAGGCAGCTGTTAGGTCATCAAGAAGTGAAGTTATAAGATAAAAAATGCCAACTAGCTCAGCTCCAGTAGGTCTTTGTGGATTTATAAATGGCATCTTCGGATAGTACCTTCCTCTTGAGTCTCAGAAGTGCTACCACACATCCTCTTTGCAGGCAAATTCTGCAAAGTTTCTTAGCTGTGGTTAATTAGACCTCACGGGTGTTTCACTATTATTAGCAGACCTTGCCTACAGCCTAATTAGTTCACATTGCTTAACAGAACACGAGAGGAGAATGTTTGCAGCATTTATCTTTAATTGTAACTCCTTGCTTAGATCTGCATGAATATTAATCACATTGTGTCAAAAAAAAAAAAAAAAGTTGACCGCTTATAAGTTTGGACATTTGATAATGTATCAAATAAACTTAGTAGGGAGTCTGGATATTTGGTATTGTATAAATTAAACATTTGGATGGGTAACTGACTTAAATTTTTCGTTATGATATTTCCTTATTAGCCTATCTTTCATGGTTATCATAATTTTAATCTGTTTTCAGATGTAAATTAAGTGACAGTAATGACTGCTAATAGCGGCACTTCACATCAGTCATAGCTGACAGTACTTCAAAGTACTTGTTTCTCATGCTAATTCTGGAATCAGATTAACATGACAATGATGAAAATAATTACATTCTTAAATTATATTCAGAGCAGTAAAATTCATTTATTTCAGTCATTTAAATTTAATCTAACAATATACCTACGGCATGGGAAAGATATGGGCATCAGTATTCCTTCTTTACAACATGGAAAACTAAATCAAGGAATTAGAACCTCATCTGCCAAGGCAAAATTAGAAGCCAAGCCTCCTAAATTCTGGGCCAGGATCCTTATTCTTAAATTATTGTTTTACAACCAATGTGTCATGAAATTTTTATGTTGTTGCCAATTGTGAAGCATGTTAGAATTATCTACTAGTAGAAATATTTACCTAGTGTAGTGCCATGATAATAATATTCACGAGGGTAGGTGGCAAAGAAAGTTTGAATGAGGGTTTGAAACTATCTAAAGAACTATAATAAATATGGATTTTGCTAAGGTGTCATCTGTGAAAATGTCTTGAACTGTCTCAAGTCTGGAGTGAAAGCACACAGCCAGATCAGAGAATTTGCATGTACTTACAAGGTCATCATGCCCAACCTAATAAAACGTTAAACTCTCTTCATCATGGCCCATTAAGTGGCCAGCCAGTCTCTAAATAGCTAAGAATGGTGATAGATAAGAGTTCTCTGGAATCCCTACACCTGAGTCAAGCACCCAAGATCCCGGAGTAGCACGGAGTGAAGAAAGGACAGTCTACAGAGTTAGGTCCCAGTCAAAGAGTGTTGAACATAAAGGTAACTTTTCAAAAGAGGAGTTCCTGGAGCTATAAGAAAAAGTCTGTTTCCAGAATACAAGTCCAAAAAGTGAGCGGGAAAAACTGAAGAGACAGCAACACAGATTTTTCCAACTAAAACAGTAAGCTGGAATAAGCAAAAAAATTAAATATGGATCAGATCACAATTGGTAAGAAACCAGTTGAGTGTAAATTTAACATTTGACAGATCCAAGTCAGGAGCTAATTAAACAAAAAGAAAGTGTCTGACAGTGTTCTTATGGGCAGTTTAATGCACTTCAATAGACTCAAGAACACATTCTCAAAGTAACAAAACACTCAAGAGCAGAGCTCATATTTTCTTAGTCCAATCTAAAGTCCCTTTTATCCCAGGAGAACATCTCGTAAGTTGTTTATTAAAAATTGAAAAGTTTAGAGCTGTATTCAGCGGCTGGCCTGTAGACACGCAATCACTCAAAACCCTTCCAGTTTTCCCTCTTCTAGTTATAGAAGAAAATATAGCAATATTTGTGATACTAAATATCTTAGTATGGACATAATCACAGAACGTGTAAACACCTTCTAAATGTTCTAAGTAAACTACTTGTAGAAACAGGGAGAGCTATTTAAGGTCATGGAATGAATACAGTGGAACAGAAAGAAATAAACCCATGTCTTCTGATCCTGAAGCTGGTGTTTCCATCATGTTTCCACAATCATGATATACTTGCTAAATATTGTCACATCACGGAGTCTACAGATTTTTTAAATAAAACATATGGTAACCATGAGTTAGGAGGCTGGATTTTTCTGTCAAAAGAGGTAGCTATAAACGTATCTATGAGATATATATTTGTATTTTGGTAACAGGCTACATTTTTAAAAAGATCCAAAAGTTATTCATAACAAAATCTTGTAAGTAAGGTAAGTTGTTTAACTGAGAAATATTTTTGTTGGTCAACCACGAATAACTCCTGTTTTCTTTCTGTATATTTCATGAACCATCTCCTAAAGCAGTTTTCAAAAAGGATTTCATATTCAGGGAGCTAAGCTGAAAGCCAGCTTTTTAACAGTGAAATTGTTTTATGATTATATTTTACTATGTACTGCTGAAAAAAATTATTTATTGACACTAATAATTTTTAATCTAATACATTTTCACTTTTTATGATACATATCAAAAATAGTTTTATATACCATACCATACCATAATAAAATAGTAGTCCCAAGGAATTCTGCCTAATGAAAACATCACAGGATGCAGAGTAAGAATATTTGGGCTCAAAGACAATGTGCATGTTCTATAATTTAGTTATTTAATCTTGCGGATCCTCTATTTCTTCTGTAAAAACAAGAAAATTAGATTTCAATTTTACATGGCTATTGTGACTAAGTAAGGACACTAA